TGCTTCAAACATCCTTTAAACCTCCACAATGAGTTTTCATGAGACGGTAACAAGAGTCAAGAGACCCTATAGAGCGTTCTGGCAAATCCTTTTGTTTTTTGGAGTTGCATTCATCATGTATTTTCTTCCAAAAGTTGAAGAAGTTTGGTCATTCGATGATATTGGTAAAAAATCATATTGAAGATATTAGTTGCAATGTTGTAGGGTCCACTTCTTCACATAAGCAAAGGATCACATATGCTGGATTTGCTCACGTAAATGATGTCGTGCATGACACCATGCATGCTGCCAAAATGAGCCACCGACTTTCTTAGTGCTAGTGCAGTTGTATTTTCTTTATTTTATTTTTGATTTATTTTAGGTGTTGAGGTGTCCTCTTTCTAGAGAGTTCTTGTGGTTGTATATAGTCTAGCTATTATTGGCTAAGCCATTCAAAAAAGTATTGAAACATTCTCCTATGATCAATCATTTTCAATCCTAAAATATCTGAAACTTTTGTCATGTTTTTTCATCAAAAGCTTTTATGGTATCTAGTCTGTTCTGTGCCAACATCTCTTTTTTGTTTTTCTCTGCCATAATTTTTCTTGATTTTCAACACTATGTCTTCTTCATCTACTCTATCCATTTCTTCAGATCCAAACAATCTCATTTTTCCCCAAATCCAACTTATTTCCTCCAAATTAAATGAAAACAATTACTTGGTATGGCATCAACAAGTGCTTGCTACAATCAAAAGATATGGATTAATCAAAAGATATGGATTATTGACATTCACCATATTTCTATGCATTATGAGTGATATAGTGTGATATTTAGTCGTGTTTATCGTGAGAATTGTGCATCATTATGCTATATTTATTAATCTATGATAGAGGTGCTTTTTATCATTAGTTTTGCAGGAACATGCCCGAAAAAGCTTAAAAAGTGGAGTCGGGACAAAAAACGATGAAAACCAGGTGCTGAAAAGGACACACGACTTGTTTGGGAAGTGACACGAGTCGTGTGAGTGAGAAAAAAAATCAACGTTTCGTTACGACATTTTCACACGAGTCGTGTGGAAGGTGACACGGGTCGTGTGACCTCACACGCAGGAGCGGACACAGACTTTACGGGTAACCGGGGCACAAACTACGGTCAACAATCAAAGTCGAGGTCAATGGTCTCAATATTTAATCAATTAAAAAAATAAAAAAGATTAAATCTTGACAAACATACTATTTCTTATTTAATAGATAGGGTTGGGTCTGACATTCTCATTTTAAAATATGGACACATTTGATCCAACCCCTATATTGTATATACATTTATGTTCAATATTTGTTTATTTTTTTATGTATTTCGGGAAGAAAAAATAAATTAAAAAGAAGTTGAGTATAACGTACACATAAATTCTACAAGTTATAACATACTATTGAAGGTTAAATAATTCTAAATATTTCTTTTTTATTTTTTATATTGAAATAACTTTGCATAATAGTTAATATGTATTTTTTATTTAATTAATATATATATATATATATTACAAAAAAAAAAATTAACAGGGGCCCGTGCCCCTACGGTCTCCTGTGTAGATCAGTCCATGCTCTCACGGGTCGTGTGACCCGGTCGTGTGACCAGTCGTGTAAGTCTGGGAGTTTGGCTAAAAGTCGAGAAAGGTCACACGACTCGTGTGGCAAGTGACACGAGTCGTGTGACGCGCAGAGTGACCAACGAGAAATAGGAT